ATGTTCAACTATTTTGATACTGACGGCACGTTTGACCGCGTGAACTTCACTCAGTCCTGTCAGGATTTTGTTAACGATAAGTACGTCAATACCCTGGTCCTAACTCTGTCTGGATTCTAGATGGAGCTGCTATCCATCGTCATCCAGAAATTGTTTACTATTTGCGAAGCGTTGGTGTCGTTCCACTCTTCCCCTTCAACATGGGCAATCCCTTCGAGCACTGCGGCTGGAGAGCGCAAGGCTTCTTTGATCCCGTCGGACCACTTTCTGTTGAGCATCAACAATCACCAGCGCTGGAGCTGAACACATCAAGTGGATTGGATTCGCTGAGATTGAGACTCCGTCGTATTGAAATATCCTGTATGTATCGCTTCAGTAGGTGGCGTTCAGTTAAAAGCAAGGTGAGATTAAGCGTATTAAGAGAATCCTATGGTATATACTGCTGAATATATCTGTGGGGAAGACGGCTGTGGCTTACCGTATTCAGTGCTGCTCAACCGCATAGTTTTGGCACAGCTTTAGAGAGCGGTTTGACCAGCTAGATATTTGCTTGATGGTGGCGTTGGTATTGCTTGCCTATTGTGAATATTGACGTACACTGCAAACGGACGGGTTGTGTGTGAATATTTGTTGAATATATCGAACAGGTGCTTGGTAGCGAGTAAGGAGAACATAATAGATTCCACTGAAAATACAGACTGCAGTGAGGTCAAGCTTAATTATACAACTGGAGAATCGCAAACTGTCGTGATGCAAAAGAAATAAGAATGTGACCCAGAGCTGGGTTCAGTAATGATGTCGGCCATAGTAGAGCACGGCCCGGCTCCGCAAGCCATGTCTGGTTCAAAATAACGTGGCAGTACACTTATCCGTGAACTCGGCTTCGAGATTGCAACGTCTCTTTACTAAGAAAGTTGCTTTTCTTCAAGCTCTAAAAGCGTCGAACCTTCAGGACTTTAATAATAAGGTAGTTGATGGGAATCACGACCGTTTTGGCTGTTGTGTCCTCATCATCCAGCTGAGCAACGTTGCGCAAGCTGGACTAACAATTGTCAGAAGAAGGGAATGACGTTTCATGTGTTGTCCACACAGCTACTTCTCCATTGGCTATCAGCTTACGTAGCCAACCATCGCTGTGCACCTTCTTCCGCTTTCAGCGCACGTCGTTTGGTTTTGGTGGCGTAATTTATTGGACGATGGT